TAAATGCATATTTAAGCTGAAAAAAAATATTTTCAAATCATTATTTAACCCCCTTTTCAGGCTGTTACTGACCGGCTGACGTCAGCCGGCTACGATATGAACAAAGCGACCTAGATGCAATGTTGCCATATTTATATATTTTCGCACATATAAAGACAATAAATAAACGGTTTGCTCACGTCAGCCAATAATAATTTAAAATGCTATAAATTATTTTTTTATAATTATGCAATCAACATATTAAATAGTTATTGTTGCCCAGCAAGAACCTCCAGTAGGTCTGAGCATGACTTGCCAAAAATCATATTTTAAACATCATAGTGATAATTTTTTTATTTGCTGTAAGCCTTCTACTAAAAATTGAAAGTAATGCGGCCCATTCAGATGTACAGGTAGAAAATGCGGGCCAATTAAACGATCGCCATACACTCCTGTCCATACATTGACACCCAACCTCCTCTGAAAGCTAAACCGACGAGTAGTGTGCGGGTTTTCATCTGACCAAATGTGACTATTATGGCTGCAAAGAAATTAGCTCTGTTTCACTTTAAATAAAATTTAATATTGAAGTTACAAAACCCCAAGAGTTCAAATAATTTAAATTTCATTTCATAACCATTTCAATTTCATTACAGAAATAATGACATAAAAAACCAACACTCACTAGATAAATTATAAAGAGAGGGTGAAATGTATGTAGTATTTAAATATTGACTGTAAGTAATAGAAGATAAAAAACAATCGGACGGAGACAAATAAACAACTCGGTACGTGTTTCCGACCTAGGCTAACCTGTGTCTAGGTCAATAACCTTCTTTCTATCTGACCCACTTTTGATTTGCACGTGTACTATAGTCTAGGAGCCAGATAGGGTGCCGTGGTCAACCAGAGTGCCACGGCTGCAAACAACTTATTCGTAGTATTTTGAGCTCCTGAATCCAAAAAACTTGGTCGCAAAGCCTGAAAGTGGTCAGTTTAATTGTTATCAACAAATTAAATGTTTAAATGGCCGTAAAAAGTTTATTTTTGTAGCTAGTATTGATATTTACCTTACATGTTGATTTTTTGGATAGCACATGAAAATACATAAGAAACCAACTTGATCAAGATCAGAACAAATTTTTTCGAATTTTTTTGCGCTCACTACCCTGATTTGCCACGATTTTTCCCTATTTTTTGCCAATTACTCAAAATTTTGTGTGACGGTGGAATTGTTGCCATCTTCTAAAATTTAATATACTTAACCAATAACCTAAATGTATTGAAACTGACGGTAGCCTTAATAACTGCACATTGAAAGAAACCAACCGCTTGCAAATGACCACAATCTAATTGACTGTTTACCTCCTTAGGAAGAAATAGTGGAAGAACTAAACGACATCCTCGGTGACTCTGACAAAGCACCCACGTACAACGAACTCATGGAGATGAAATTTTTGGAAAGGTGCATTAAAGAATGCTTGAGATTGTACCCAAGCGTGCCATTCATCGGCAGGGTAGCCGGAGAAGACATCAAAACGTCCAACGGCTATACTATACCCAAAGGTTGTGAAGTCAATATATACATTTATGAGTTACACCGATCTACCCAGTACTGGGAGGACCCAGAAAAGTTCGATCCCGACAGGTTTCTGCCCGAAAATGTCGCAGCCAGACATCCCTTTGCTTACCTGCCATTCAGCGCTGGATCCAGGAATTGCATAGGTCTATAATTTTTACAGTTCATTCTATATACAGGGTGGTCCTTAAGTAATTGTACATAGAAGTATGATAGATTTGTGACTTTAAAATATTACGATTTGAGCCAACTTGCCTTAATAAAATATTGATAATAAGAAAGATACAGGGTGTTAAAAGTGAAATTTCAAAATTTATTTTTCGCAATAACTTGAACATTTTTGGACATTTATACAAAAAAAATTTAACTGGTGGTTCTTTGGTATGAGAAATCATAATATGGTATCTAATTTAATGTATCTTTTAGAGGGCGCCACATAAGCCACCTGTGTGACATAAATGTAGGTACCCTAAACTTTTTTGCCCATCAAGTTAGCTCTCTTTTGAAATTTCACTTTTAACACCCTGTATCTTTCTTATTATCAATATTTTATTAAGGCAAGTTGGCTCAAACCGTAATATTTTAAAGTCGCAAATCTATCATACTTCTCTATGTACAATTACTTACAATATAGTAAAACAGTATATACAAATTAATGTGATATGTTTTATATACTATTTACTTTATAAAAATTCTGGAATTTATCACCTAGGTTATTGTGAGAAGTCACTGTCGTTAGCACTTGTTCATGCCAGGAATACACACAATTGGGGTGTCTGCGACCGATATAGAGACACTAAGTCTCGTTGGAGGGGCACATGGTCACCATCAGTATAGTTTAGTATCATCTGCGTAGAAAGATACCTTATTCGTGATGGGATATTGAATATCACTGACCTATATAATAAACAATAGGGGCCCTAAAACTAAACCCTGAGATATGCCGCTGATAACCGGCCTATCGCCGGAGAAAGATTCGCCTACTCTCACTCTAAAGCATGTATTTATTACAAAAAAAACTGTTGATCCATTGGTGTAAGGTACCACGAACGCCCACACGATCCAGTTTGTGTAAAAGTCTCGATATTACATCTATAGGATCACTATTGTCTAGAGCGAGAGACCAGTCATTTACGCAGTGGGTTAGGTTTGTTAATGTGGAGCTGTNTTTTTTTTCCGATTTTCTGTCTTTATTAAGTCTTCCGAATACGTGATTAAAATTAATGACATTATGACTGAATGACCCTGTATATAGGGTGATCCTTAATTAATTGTACATAGAAGTATGGTGGATTTGTGACTTTAAAATATTACGATATGAGACAACTTGCCTTAATAAAATATTGATAATGAGAAAGATACAGGGTGTTAAAAGTGAAATTTCAAAATTTATTTTTCGCAATAACTTGAACATTTTTGGACATTTATACAAAAAAATTTTAACTAGGGGTTCTTTGGTATGAGAAATCATAACATGGTATCTAATATAATGTATCTTTTAGAGGGCGCCACATAAGCCACATATGTGACATAAATGTAGGTACCCTAAACTTTTTTGCCCATCAAGTTAGCTCTCTTTTGAAATTTCACTTTTAACACCCTGTATCTTTCTTATTATCAATATTTTATTAAGGCAAGTTGGCTCAAACCGTAATATTTTAAAGTCACAAATCTATCATACTTCTCTATGTACAATTACTTACAATATAGTAAAACAGTATATACAAATTAATGATATGTTTTATATACTATTTACTTTATAAAAATTTTGGAATTTATCACCTAGGTTATTGTGAGAAGTCACTGTCGTTAGCACTTGTTCATGCCAGGAATACACACAATTGGGGTGTCTGCGGCCGATATAGATACACTAAGTCTCGTTGGAGGGGCACATGGTAACCATCAGTATAGTTTAGTATCATCTGCGTAGAAATATACCTTATTCGTGACGGGATATTGAATATCACTGACCTATATAATAAACAATAGGGTCCCTAAAACTAAACCCTGAGATATGCCGCTGAGAACCGGCCTATCGCCGGAGAAAGATTCGCCTACTTTCACTCTAAAGCATCTATTTATTACAAAAAAAAACTGTTGATCCATTGGTGTAAGGTACCACGAACGCCCACACGATCCAGTTTGTGTAAAAGTCTAGATATTACATCTATAGGATCACTATTGTCTGGAGCGAGAGACCAGTCATTTACGCAATGGGTTAGGTTTGTTAATGTGGAGCTGTTTTTAATAAATCCATGTTGCTGTGCAGGAATAACGTTTTCTTGTAGTAAGAAATTTGTCATACCCTCCACAATGATAGATTCCTTTATTTTGCAAATTGTGGGTAAAAGACTGATTGGGCGGTAGTTATTGGGGTCCAATTTGTCTCCTTTGTTTTGCCTCCTTTGTTGAAGCTTGGTGTAATAGAAGCTTGTTTCCACATAGATGGTACAAAACTGCTTGAAAATGATTCGGACATGATCATAAACAAAGTTAATGTTAGGGCATCAACATATTTTAGAAGACGATAATTCGATAAGCCATCCAAACCAGGGGAAGTGTCTTTTTGAAGTTTCATCAAGTGTTTTTTAACTATATCTGGAGTGAATTCAATGTTCTCCAAGCAGGACACAACACGTGGTATTTACCAGGTTCGGTCGCTGATGCAGCAACTCGGCATTGAAATATTTGAAAAACTTGTTCCCATATTTATTTAGCCATACCTATATACAGGTCTGGTCGAACTAAACGTGGAGGTAGTAGAAATGTATACGCCCAGTAGAAGAATGCGCACGCGGACAAACACAACCGCATTGGGCGACTGGGCAATAAATCTCAGTTGTTGACAAGTGGTTGACAAATTCCCTAGCAGTGTAATACAGCAATGCGGAATTTGGTGTGATTCAGGAAATTTTAATTTATTATAGGCACCTTCTATTAATCATTCATATTACAATTGCGAAAGGGAGAAATAATGTTATTACAACATGGCATGTTGGAGACCTTTTGAAACGGAACAAAACGAAATTTACCATCAATATAATAAAATTGTTTGAGGACATAAATAATTAAAATATGTTGTTGGCCAAATGTTATATACAAATTATTATAATTTTTTACCTTTCGCAGAAAACTTTTTTTAGGAACGCCTATGAAACTCATTTTAAATAATAAAATTTTCATATAAATTTTATTTCGAATCAGTTGAACATGTATAACAAAGTTCAACTGACTTCGGAAAGAATATGATATCGAAGACTCGGGAACGTTATTAATTGTGAAATTTATGCAAACAAAGAATGATGTAAACAGAAAATTTATACTTACTGAAAAATATATTAAATTTTACAGAATGTACATCCCTTTGTCCAGTAGCAGCAGGATCGCCGCCTGTTTTATGAAAATCGCAATGGAAAATGTATCAATCAGGTTGTTGGTAAAAATCAGTTTTATAAAATAACTGAAACAGTAGCCAATTTTCTTCTACTTGAAAATTCTGTCAATACAGGTCATGCATTTCGAAGATCGTCTGCTACACTTTTAGTTGAATCTGGAGGAGACTTGATGACACTAAAGAAACATGGTGGTTGAAAATCATCAACGGTTGCTGAAGGGTATGTTGATGAATCTGTGGCGCATAGGACATATATAAATATCTAAAAAAAAAGTATTTAGAACGTGTGGCAGACTTAGTTGAAATAAGATCCAATTTGCTACCAGGACCATCAACGGCAGTTGTGCCAATGGCAGAAAATATGATTTCAACTTAAGAAAATTCCACTGTAGCAGACATTCTATATCGTTCGAGGAACATATCCTTCATGCAATCCACATTTAACAACTGTACTTTTGAGATTAAGGAAATCTAAGTTTTGTATAATAAAATATTCTAAAATTAAATATCTACCTGTTCTTATGTATACATACCCGGGAGAAAGATATTCATTTTTTTCCCGAGCAAAAAGTAATTTCATAATGTTACCTGTCAAGAGAGATAAAATGTCAAACTTTTTTCCCGCCACAGAAAAAAAGAATTTTATGCATCACTCCCATTTTTAACGTATTCAGTTGAAATTTTGCATAGATTTATAACCACTTTTGTAATTAAAAAACATAATATAAGTATATTACAGTCTGAACGGAGGAAACGATGCATGTACAAATTGACTCTCCAATTTTGTATTGTTGGATGTTGTTTTTAAGAATTAAATGTATATTTTATTATTTTCAATACCAAAATTTTGTTGGGTTTGGTGATATTAACCCACTGGCCGTTTGGATTCTCAATTTTTCTTAGGTAACAAACTAAGCTTAACAAAAATGAAGTTGGATTGCGCAGATTTGGATATGTTTCTGAAGAATATACAGCATCCAAATTACTTTACAATTCATGTTATTATGTCAGATGCGATAAACGACAAATTATATAAGATATTGACTTTTAAATAATTTAGGTGAGCTTCAAATGTGCAGGTAGTGAGCTATTGGTCTAGCTTTATTACCAAAAGGTCGACGCTTTTTTTAATGTAATACATTTCAACTAATTTTTTCAATTTATCAAAAAAAAAAATCTTAACTTTGTATAATTGAATAGCAAGTTATTGTAAGTTACTCAAACACATCCTCATCTAAATCATAGTTATAATGTATTCGTTACCACATAAAAGTAACCATGTTTTAGGATATAAATTGACTAACTTAAATTAATATTAATCTAAAACATTTATAACGTATTCGCTATTACATGAAATAAACTATCATGGCAAAAGTTACTACACACAAAAGTAACAGTTTACTGACCAGAACTCATTAATCACACAAAAAGTTTATTACATTCCACAATTTATAGAAAAGTTTTAACCGAATATTACTCTATTTTTTTTAAATACATTTATTTGGAGATAGCATATACAGTTTATCCCATGCTGCTATGGGAAAACATTAACTAAGTAGCAATTCGGCGAACAGAGTCTACACTTGTCTAGTATCTGAACTATCGGACCTTACAAATACAAACTATTGAGTTAATTTGTAAACCGAGTATCCAAATTTTGATTTATAGCGTACATATGCAGTCTACAAATAGCACACCTTTTCCCTTCTACTGCATCAACTAACCTACCTCTTTAAACATCCCTGGGACACTATAGTCAG